CACACACACACTCCCACATTGTGCAATGACAGGTGCACACTATTAATTGAGAATGAATGCCCTTTAGAACTTGAACATTTTCCCAGAACAATGGCTGCATAACAATAGCTCAATTTCCTTTATTGTTTGAGCACTGTAGATACAAAAAAATACCCACCAATCTTCTTGGCAATGTTGCTAGTTTTGAATGCTAACATAGAACTCCTTAGAAATAATTCTTTTTTTTTTTCGTACAAGACTTTTCTCCCAATAATTTCCCTCCATGCACAGAATGAAACAAACCAGACACAATTGGACAAAGATGAGACATTTCTTCCCATGTGTCTGAAAATTTCTGGAGTAAACTTTTTTTTTTGTCTCTCGGGAGGCCTTGGAGCCTACAAGAAGGACATGGGAGTGGGACCTAGCCTACCCTAGTCTAAAGTCACACTTTGTTGGGCATGTCCCTTTTTAAGCTGCCCTGAGTCCCTTCAGGGAGATGGAGGCGGGGTATACAATTATTATTATTATTATTATTATTATTAAAGAGCTTGCTTGAAAAGAGTGATTTCATATAGCTGTTGAACTCTTTATACTGTGAATATTTGGATGTGCTTTGTTGCAGAAAGACCAAAGATTGTTTGTTTTATACTTTCCAATCTAGTGACAGTTCCTTATTATTCTGTGTCTTTAAAACATTTCTGAGTTAAGGTTATCCTAAGACAAATCATCAAGTTTTCTGGGGCTGAAAATGTGCAACTTGATCAGGATCAACCAGTGGCTTTTCATGACTGAGCAGAGAGTCAAACCTTGATCTCCAAAGTCATAGTCCAACAATCATGTTGTAACACGAGCTCTCAGACCTCCTTAGAGTTCACAATTCTAGTCACCTGGGTAGTAGGTTACCAAAGTTGTGAACAACAGTATTGTTTAGTTGAGAGGCCAAAATTCCCATTAAGACTTAAGATTCATACTTAAGTCTTAAGTATGAATCTTACAACACACACACACACACAGGTATACAAGATTATGCAGTTGCACATTATTTGTGAAGCTTTCTTTCATTGCATAGACATTTCTAGTCTAAGTATAGTATCCTTCACAGATACCACATAGTCTAAACATATTGTTTCTTATGTGCAGTATTCTTTATGGTTGTAAAGCATATGGCATATCAAGTACGTGAGCCTAGTACTTCTAGTATATTATACTGGTAAGAAATATGAACTTACACAATGTTTGTAATAGTGAGCATCCTACATTTCAACTGTTGAAGATATTCTCTTTTCATACAGGCATCTACATATTTCCCAGCATTTGATAGCATTTCCTCATTTTCAATTAATTGAATCAATCCAACATAGATATTATCCTCCAGGGAGTATTTCTAACTCTACTTGTAATCCAACATTTCATTCAGAGTATTTAAATTCAAAGCATTCACCTTTGAACTATGGATACTATTGGGTCTGATCAGCCTATGGTCCTATAGAAGATTATTCATTACATAATGTTACATAATGTTATTTCACAGAAACCGAACAAAGGGGAGAGGAGGCGGAGTAGCCTTATATGTCAAAAACTCTTATGCTGCAGAAGAGATTCAAGACAGCAATCTGGGAAACCAGCTTGAAATCATCTGGATAAGAATCAAGGGAACTGGGACTCAAAAAGATGTCGTTGCAGGCGTCTACTACAGACCCCCAAGCCAGGAGGAAGAACTTGATGAAGTCTTCTGCCAACAGTTGACCAAACAGGCACAGAGAAGAGATGTAGTAGTCATGGGCGATTTCAACTATCCCGATATTTGCTGGAAAACAACTCGGCCAAGAGTACAAGGTCCAACAAATTCCTCGCTTGCCTTGCAGACAATTTCATGGTTCAGAAGGTAGAAGAGGCAACAAGGGGATTGGCTACTCTTGATCTCATCCTAACAAATGTGGAGGACCTGATCGATGTGGTGAAGTGGTAGGATCCTTAGGGGCAAGTGACCATGTGCTCCTGCAATTTGAGGTACAAAGAAAGGCCGAAACTAAGACAAGTCAAACCCGCATTTTGGACTTTAGGAGAGCTGATTTCCAAAAAATGAAGGAAACACTGAGCAGCATTCCGTGGACACAGATACTAAAAGACAAGGGAGTTACGGATGGATGGGAATTTCTCAAGAGTGAAATACTCAAGACGCAATTGCAAACCGTGCCAACAAAGAGAAAAAATAGGACAAGTGCAAAGAAGCCAGAATGGATGTCCAAAGAACTTCTAACTGTGCTAAGACACAAAAGAGACATGCACAAGAAGTGGAAAAAGGGAGAAATCACCAAAGAAGAATTCAAACAAATAGCCAACACCTGTAGGGAAAAGGTCCGCAAGGCTAAAGCAAAAAACGAGATCAGACTTGCCAGGGACATTAAAAACAATAAAAAGGGCTTCTATTCTTATGTCAGAAAAAGGAAAAACAAGGAGGCGATAGGACCTCTTCGAGGAGAAGATGGGGCAATGCTGACAGGGGATAGGGAAAAGGCAGAACTACTTAATGCCTTCTTTGCCCCGGTCTTCTCACAAAAAGAGAGTCTTCAACCTCAGCAAGATGGAGTGGATGAGGGATTGGAGGACATCCAACCCCAAATTGGGAAAGAAGTCGTCCAGGAATACCTGGCCGCTCTTAATGAGTTCAAGTCCCCAGGGCCAGATCAACTACACCCCAGAATATTGAAGGAACTAGCGGAAGTCATTTCGGAACCATTGGCAACCATCTTTGAGAGTTCTTGGAGAACGGGAGAAGTTCCAGCAGATTGGAGGAGGGCCAATGTGGTCCCAATCTTCAAGAAGGGAAAAAAGGATGACCCAAACAACTACCGTCCGGTCAACCTCACGTCGATACCGGGCAAGATTCTGGAAAAGATTGTTAAGGAAGCGGTCTGCAAACACTTAGAAACAAATGCAGTCATCGCTAATAGTCAACATGGATTTATCAAAAACAAGTCATGCCAGACTAATCTGATCTCTTTCTTCGATAGAGCTACAAGCTGGGTAGATGCGGGGAATGCCGTGGATGTAGCGTACCTGGATTTCAGTAAGGCCTTCGACAAGGTCCCCCATGACCTTCTGGCAAGGAAACTAGTCCAATGTGGGCTAGGCAAAACTACGGTGAGGCGGATCTGTAATTGGTTAAGTGGACGAACACAGAGAGTGCTCACTAATGCTTCCTCTTCATCTTGGAAAGAAGTGACAAGTGGAGTGCCTCAGGGTTCCGTCCTGGGCCCGGTCCTGTTCAACATCTTTATTAATGACTTAGATGAAGGGCTAGAAGGCATGATCATCAAGTTTGCAGACGACACCAAATTGGGAGGGATAGCCAATAGTCCAGAGGACAGGAGCAGAATTCAAAACGATCGTGACAGATTAGAGAGATGGGCCAAAACTAACAAAATGAAGTTCAACAGTGACAAATGCAAGATACTCCACTTTGGCAGAAAAAATGAAATGCAAAGATACAGAATGGGGGACGCCTGGCTCGAGAGCAGTACGTGTGAAAAAGATCTTGGAGTCCTCGTGGACAACAAGTTAAACATGAGCCAACAATGTGATGTGGCGGCAAAAAAAGCCAATGGGATTTTGGCCTGCATCAATAGGAGCATAGTGTCTAGATCTAAGGAAGTAATGCTACCCCTCTATTCTGCTGGTTAGACCACACCTGGAATATTGTGTCCAATTCTGGGCACCACAATTCAAGAGAGATATTGACAAGCTGGAATGTGTCCAGAGGAGGGCGACTAAAATGATCAAGGGTCTGGAGAACAAGCCCTATGAGGAGCGGCTTAGGGAACTGGGCATGTTTAGCCTGAAGAAGAGAAGGCTGAGAGGAGATATGATAGCCATGTATAAATATGTGAGAGGAAGCCACAGGGAGGAGGGAGCAAGCTTGTTTTCTGCTTTCCTGGAGACTAGGACGCGGAACAATGGCTTCAAACTACAAGGAGAGGAGATTCCATCTGAACATGAGGAAGAACTTCCTGACTGTGAGAGCCGTTCAGCAGTGGAACTCTCTGCCCCGGAGTGTGGTGGAGGCTCCTTCTTTGGAAGCTTTTAAACAGAGGCTGGATGGCCATCTGTCAGGGGTGATTTGAATGCAATATTCCTGCTTCTTGGCAGGGGGTTGGACTGGATGGCCCATGAGGTCTCTTCCAACTCTTTGATTCTATGATTCTATGATTTATGACATTTCCAAACTACTCCATATCCAAGATTTCAAAGCTAGAGTTCCATAGATTTTGACATCCAAATATGCAAATCTATATAAATAAAAATGTAATGTTCGTTTGCGGGATTAACATAAATCAAAAACCACTGGATGAATTGACACCAAATGTGGACATAATACACCTATCAGGCCAGCTAGTGACCATCACTCATAAAAACACTGGAAAAACGCAGTAGAAGAGACTTTAAAAGCCAAAAAACAAAAAATACATGCACAAACACACATACATATATATACATATACACAAATATATACACACACAAAACACATATATACAGACTGGGCCATAGCAACGTGTGGCAGAGGATGGTTAGTATTTAATATAATTCTTTATTTCTTTGTTGTATTTGTTTGCTTGCTTGTGTTACAATAAAAACAAACATATCAATACAACTCTGGATCAAGTTCACCAATCCTAATATTACTTTCTTGGTATCTATGGAGCAGCCAACAATGCCCAGTGAATGCAGCACCTGGGACTGATGATGTCACCTTTCCAGGATTGGCTGCTCAGTTAGCTGAATTCATTGTGTTTGCGCTATGCCTTTGTGGTCCACATGAACTCCCTCTTCTCCTTGGTCTCTACTTGTAGTTGCTAACAAATATCTTTTATTCCACAGTCACTGTGAGATATTAAAGATGCTCTTTACTTTGTAAGGAGGCTAGCATAAATGTAGCCCTAAAAAAGAAATGCATTGCAAATTAAAATTGAAAATGTAGGAGATGAGGATGTTAATGTAATGTATCGTTATTCCAATAGGCTGGTGTCCCAAGCTTGCTATCCTTTGTTCTGGAACCACATTCACCAAAGTTCTTGTGAAATGTCAAGTGTCTTTGATGCTGAAGGGAAAAGGGAAGCCATTCAACCTTGTCCAAATCGCTGGGAACCATCCAACCGTATTTATCAGTGTGGGTTGCCCTACAGAATCTCTTCACAGGTAAGAGGAAAATAAAATCCAGATTCTCAACTCTAGCTATTTACTTTTTCCCTTTGTGATGCCATCAATAACTTGCCAGCTATTTCCAAAAACTAGAAACGTTTTCACACACACACACACACACACACACACAGAGAGAGAGAGAGAGAGAGAGAGAGAGGTATGTTCTAAATGTGTATAATATGGTTTTGGGTGCATTTGGATACTAAAATAGAAACTTGGTGGTCTTTCTTTGAGAATAATATCAGCAGTTCATGCTGGTCTATAGAATTCTTCAATGTTTTGGGTACGGAAACTGTATGGGTCTATAGTTCTTACATTACAGTTCCATCAGCCCTGCCCTTTTCCAGTCAATGGAGGGAAATGATAGGAATTGCTTCCAAACAATGTCACCGTCCCCATCCATGCTAATGAGTGTATAGTGCAACACACCATTACAAAAGAGCACAAGGGTCTTGATGCTTGATCTGAAAATGGTGGAACACTTGTGGCTTCTCTGCGACTACTTGCTTTGAATGTAAAAACCCTTCTGGGTGCTTGATAGGCCTTCTGTCTTTACTAACATCTGCCTCTGGCCTTGACATAAACATGGAACTATGGCCAACAGAAATGGCCCAGGTCTAAAATATCTTTCCATTTTTCTTGGTGTGGAAATTATCCTGTTTATGTGATTTCTATTAGAGAAAACCCCTAGTGGAGAAATATGGCTTGCCATTACCTTATCTAGTGGTATCGCCAAGTAAGTGGGGGAAGAAAGGGGTGAAGTGGCAATGAGGGCCATAGTAGTGAGACCTTGAAAGCACAGAAGAGGGCCATAGTACTGAGACCTTAAAACAGCAGAAGAGATGGACATTTTTAGTTAAGGGTCTATGGCCAAGGTCTAGTATATTGTGATCCTATTGCAAGGGGGGAAACCATTTACAGGGCTGGTCCCAATATTGGGCATTGCAGGCAGTCAAATTGGATCTGTGGGGGGAATAGGTGCTATTTCCCATATTTTCTAGTTTCATATTAATTCCGATCAGACAGTGGACTCTCTATATCCACAAGGGATGTGTTGAGAAAATGGAAAAATGCAGATGATCACACTCCATATTATTCAAGCATGGCAATAGGAAACACACATACTTCAGAATGTCTGTAGTTACTGTATTTATGTCACCACCAGTTACTAATATGGGGCGCAACACTCTGTTGTCACTTGGAAATACTAATCTGAATCAGGTACCAGGTACCAATATAACTTGGTGAGGATTTGTTATGCATCTTGATTGCCTTTTACTTCAGGCAAAAATTAGTAATACTTTGAGCTGTCTCTGTAATATTGTGTGTGCAAGAGAGTGAGAAAGTATGCAGTTGATTGCATTTGAGATAATGCAAACTAATACCATAATTTTGGCTCTATATTGTTAAAAGTTTCTAATCCCCCCCCCCCCCCCCCCCCCCCCCCCCCACAGTATCATCAACATCTTTAGTTACAGGCTGCCATTTGCTTCATTTTTTTTTAAAAAAAATCATCTGCTCTGTATGTATTCTAAGAGCAATATTTCGTATCTCAGCTTTAGTGCTCTCTTGAAAGCAAAACCCTGCAAGCCTGACACACAGACTTTCTTTCTGTTAAGGCTATTTCCTGAATGCATGAGAAATTAATCTGGGCAGAATGGAGCTCTAGGGAACTCTTCACATGGCCCAATTGCCAGAAAAAGGGAAGACATGAGGGGCAGCTCATGGTGCCCTGCTCACCCTCCCCCCTCCTCACATCACACAGAGGGAATAGGAAAAGGTGCTTTGACACCCTTTCCTTCCCCACATCAGATGCTAGAAAGGGTGGCAATGTGCTGCACTGTGAGTTGCCCCACCGCCCTTTCTGCCATCACACAGGGAAATTGAAGGGAAAATGAGGGTAGCTCTGTCAGAGCTACCCAAATACACTTTCCTCTCCGTAGTTGTGGTGGAAGTGCTTTTTGGTGCTTCCCCCCAACTTTGGGAGGAAAGTGACTGGGGCCTGTCCTGTGATGGTGCATGGCAGGCCCCGTCTTTGCCAGGAAGCAAAGCAGCAAAATAGGGCAAAAATGCCCTGTGTGAAGATGCGTTAAGGCTATATATCCGCATGCGCGTCAATCTCTGCCTCCTTTCTCTGATGGAACACAAGTTGAATTCTCTTGGTAATCTAGAATTCTGCTTTAGAAGGATCTAATTTAAGCTCTCATATGTGATGATACCTGAAGTGTTTCCAAGTTTTTACACTACTGTATAAATCTGCTATTATAGTGGTCAATTTTTGAGCCTCATTTCCAAAGGCTCATGTTTTTTAAAAATCAAAAGAAGACAGGAAAAGAATTCCCATGTGGTTTTATGTAAGAACTAAGTCATTTTAAAATTCTTAAAAACAGCAGAAAGGATGGACATTTTAAGCTAAGGAGAAGCTCATATTTTTTGTCAGTTCTTTGGACAGCCCAGAAGACCAAACCATGAATCAAAATAGTTAAAAGTAACGCATCTTCCTTCCTTCCTTTACATCTGTTTCTCACTTCTGTTCTAAATGTTAAATATAGAAATCTATACATATGTATTTTCTTCTATATCTTTAGGAAGCTGATATAATGAAAGAAATTAAAGAAAATGGACCAGTGCAAGGTAAAGAAACAGGGAGCAATTGTTGGACTTGATTACAAAATGTATGTATGAAAGAAAAAATGGCAATACCCACCCCCATTCCATGGATTCCACAGATTCAACCATTTATATTTGATATATAAAACAACCTTATTTTATATAAAGACACCATGTTACTGTGCCATTGTATATATTGGGAGTCGAGCATCCACAGATTTTGGTATCAATGTTGCAGGGTGGCTGGAACCAAACCCCTGTGAATATCAAGGACGCACTGCATGCACATTGCTTCTACCCTTCTTTGTTACATGCTATATGTTTGTTTGTTTTTTTGCATCTTCTACCCGACTGACAAACCTAAAATTATTGATTTCACCTTCACCTCTCCTCTCTCTTTGATTTCTCCAGAGGAAATGAGTAACGCAAAGGAAAAGCAGTGCTCACTTACTCCTGTGCATAGAGTCAGATCCCTCCTTTTTCATTGCAACCAATGTTCATTTCACCATTCTTTTCTCTTTCAACAGCCCCGGTTCAATGACTCTTTTTCAAACTGACCCATCAGCACCAGCTTGTGTTGCCTGATTTAGAATTAGGGATGGATAGAATACCCACAAGTGTTTGAAAAAAGGAAGCCCTAAAGCCCTGTACTCTCTTGCTAGTGCTCCTTCTGGTGCTAGCTCTTAACTCAAAATGCTGCTTATATGTCAAAACAAAACCTGGGCCAAGTGTCGGCATTTAAGTCAAAACGCTCTTAAGTTGCAATGCTCTTAAGTCAAGGTTGCACTGTAGTATCAAATGCTGAAGTTTAGACTGGATCTACACTGTCAAATAATGCAATTTGAAGTGCATTAAATGGTCCATATAGACCCATATAAATCACTTCAAACTGCATTGGACTGCATTATATGATCAACACAGACCATATAATGTACATCAAACTGCATTATTTGGCAGCCTTAGATGCTAAGGGCAAAAAAATAATTCTAAGAATGAAACAACAGGCCCCCTTCCACCCAAGTATTGTCTGAGGGGAGAGACAGTGGCAGTGGTAGCTAGCTACTATACTCTTTAAAGGAGCTGTCATAGGTGTTGAATGCCATTACAGACTGGTTTCAACACCCTCAATAGAGCCAGAAAAGTTTTAAAGAGTGAATTCCAGAGCAAATTCACTATTCCACTGACATGGGAGTCACCATGGCAGGACATAAATGATTGTTATGATAGACACAGTCTAGAATCCTGCTGGTGTTATATGCATGCCTAAGTTCTTTGAACCAGTGTTTTACTTTCTTGACAATTGTGCAACTGATGTAGTCCATGGCTCCACAAGACAGTTTTACAGTACACAACCCTAATGTCAGAGTGGAGGAAGAGAATGGCTGGATGGTTTTAGTTCACTGTTGAAGAATTGATTCATTGGGTCTACTCGAGTGTTTCTCAACCTTGGAGTCAGGATCCCTAGGGGGATTGCAAGGGGGTGACAGAGGGGTCACCAAAGGCCATACGAAAACACAATATTTTTTGCTCATCATGGAGGTTTTGTGTGGGAAGTTTGGCCCAATTCTATCAGAATGGTTCAGAATGCTCTTTGATTGTAGGTGAATGATAAATCTCAGCAACTACAACTCCCAAATGTCAAGGACTGTTTTCCCCAAACTCCACCAGTGTTCACATTTGGGCATACTGAGTATTCAAGTTTGGTCCAGATTCATCATTGTTTGATCCCACAGTGCTCTCTGGATGTAGGTGAACTACAATTCCAAAACTCAATGCCGACCAAACCCTTCCAGAATTTTCTGTTGGTCATGGGAGTTCTGTGTGCCAAGTTTGGTTCAATTCCATAATTGGTGGAGTTCAGAATGCTCTTTTGTAGGTTAACTATAAATCCCAGCAACTGCATCTCCCAAATGACAAAATCAATCCCCCCCCAACCCCACCAGTATTCAAATTTGGCCGTATTGGGTATTTGTGCCAAATTTGGTCCAGTGAATGAAAATACATTCTGAATATCAGATATTTTCATTATGATTCATAACAGTAGCAAAATTACAGTTATGAAGTAGCAATGAAAATAATTTGATGATTGGGGGTCACCGCAACATAAGAAACTGTATTAAGGGGTCACAGCATTAGGAAGGTTGAGAACCACTGGTTTATTCTAATCAGAACAAACCAAGATGATCCCAACCATCCATTCATGGGTATTTTTTAGTGTCTTCGGTGTGCCACTTTATTCCATAGAATGACAGGAATAGCCACTGTACCTTTTAATTGCATGATGAGAAAATAAGTAGACATATTGGTCGTATGCAGTTGTTTCCACAATGTTGGTATTCAACAGAAAGGAAAGATAATGCAACCACAATGTAACTGAATGAATTTAAATTTATGTCACACAAGTACATTGTAGGATCTCAGCCATGGAAAAAGGGAACTAGTGAATGATAAAGACAGAGAGAGTAGGTAACACAGCTAGAATTTAAAAAGCTACCAAGAAGGATAGAAAGAAAGGTAACCTAATGAGCAGTGCCTGCTAGTAGCTTTCATGTCAGTAAGGAAGGGAATTCACTTTGGGTTTCAGTTTGATCTTTAAAAGAGCTCTCCACATTGCCAACACTTTTCACCAAAATAGATGCCGCAACAAAAGTATCTCCTTTCATGTCAAGATTAAGATTTGGAAGGATTAACTGTGCATCCATCCAACATGGAAATTGTCAGATCTCTTTTGTTTGTGGGGAATGTACAGAGTAAAGATACGTTCAAGAATAAGAAATAGGTTTGTCTGGATTGGAAATGTAGAAAAATGAGTGCCAAGGAAACAGGAGTTATAGTTAACAATACCCCCAGGTTCCAGTCTGTGGAGCTTAAACCTTTTTTGGTCTTGGAATCATAGAATCATAAAATCATAGAGTTGGAAGAGACCTCATGGGCCATCCAGGCCAACCCCCTGCCAAGAAGAAGGAAAATCAAATTCAAAGCAACCCCAACAGATGGCAATCCAGCCTCTGTTTAAAAGCCTCCAAAGAAGGAGCCTCCACCACAGAGTGAATTCCTCTGTGCAGAGAGTTCCACTACTGAACAGCTCTCACAGGAAGTTCTTTCTAATGTTCAGGTGGGATCTCCTTTCCTGTAGAGTGAAGCCATTGTTCTGCGTCCTAGTCTCCAGGGCAGCTGAAAACAAGCTTGCTCCCTCCTCCCTAAGACTTCCCCTCACATATTTATACATGACCATCATGTCTCTTTTCAGCCTTCTCTTCTGCAGGCTCAACTTGCCCAGCTTTTTAAGCCGCTCCTCATAGGGCTTGTTCTCCAGACCTTTGATCATTTTAGTCACCCCCTTCTTGAAGTGCTATGAGTACTTCTTTCCTGATGCCCACCTGAAGTAAAACTTTCCGTGTTTCAGTTAAAACTACAGAAAAAAATGAAAATTTATGAACATGGAAAGGTAAAATAAAGAAAAAGCCAAGAAGTGAAAATTGTGATAAAAAGGGCATTAACTGTATGAAATACTAATAATGGGAGGACAAGAATAAAAAGCAAGCAATCATCGCAATGTGTTTTTTGTCTCCATTTATACAAGGACATGCTTTGCACTTACATTTTATTTGTTCTTCATTGAACCATTGAATCATAAACCCAATGGTGTCAGATGACATTACATGTACACTTTCTTCTAACAGGAAAACACAACAGACAGTACTTAACAATAAATTCCAGATCTGATGCTTGCATCATATATTTTCAAATATTTATTGTTTAGAAGAAATTAGAAGAATAAAGACAACAAGCATTAAGTTCCTTTGCTGTTTTTTTTTAATTTAGCTGTCATGCAAATATATGATGATTTCTTCCTTTACAAGAGTGGGATTTATAAACATATTTGGAGTCTAGAAGGAAAAACACAGAACAATCATCAGAAGAAGCCTCACTCTGTCAAAATTGTCGGGTAAGTGAAACTGTTGTTTATGTAATATCCAATGGTCAGATATTGTGCACAGAATGATAACTAATTATTTCTCCGAACTCCAGGCTTTACCTGGCTTCCAGAGCCAACCCCTTAATTGTGGTGATTGCCTCAGTTGGCAAATGTTGTAAGATAGGGAGTGAGGACAGTTGTTGGAGGATAATGTAAGTTGCGCAGCACAACATATACTGGGCTAGTGAAATAAACCTGATGCCTTGAAATGTATGTGTCGTCCTGCTCTAATGTTGTTATTGAAGTAAGGTGCAATTGCCATATCAGTCAGTGTCTGTATATAAAATGGGTGAAGATACCATTTTACCTTTGTCTCAGGAAGCAAAAGAAAAGGGGTCTTCTTTGTATCATGATTATGGACGCACCGTGCTAAGCTCAGGCCTTGTTTGGCTCCATATGTTTTTACAAGTAGGGTTTATAAGTAAGGTGTATACATAAGCAATGTGATTAAGGAAGTCATGTAAGTAAGAAGGAAAAGACAAACCTCTTCTAAACAAATCTCACTAAGAACTTCATCACACTAGAGAATGAATCCACTTAAAATTCGGTTTCTGCCTCCTGCAGAATTCTAGGATTTGTAGTTTAGGGAGGAGACTTTAACAGCCTCACTAAGCTACAAACTCCAGAACTCTGCAGGAGGCAGAAACCAGATTTTAAGTGGATTCATTCTCTAGTGTGATGAAGTAGTAAGAAACCTTCTGGATTGTCATAAGGTGGAAATGAATTGAAGGCACACAATATCAAATAAGTAAACCCTGGTGGTGGGGTGTAGGCTTTTCCCATAGATTTCTATTTTCTATGTGTTGTTTATTCGTTGCGTTGCTTCCAACTCTTCATGACCTCATAGACCAGCCCATGCCAGAGCTCCCTGTCGGCCGTGGCCACCCCCAGCTTCTTCAAGGTCAAGCCAGTCAAGGATAACAACTATCCATCTTGCCCTTGGTTGGCTCCTCTTCCTTTTTCCTTCCTTTTCCCCCAGCATCATTGTCTTCTCCAAACTTTCCTTTCTTTTCATGATGTGGCCAAAGTACTTCATCTTTGCATCTAATATCCTTCCCTCCAGTGAGCAGTCAGGCTTCATTTCCTGGAGTATGGACAGGTTTGATCTTCTTGCGGTCCAAGGCACTCTCAGAATTTTCCTCCAGGACCACAGTTCAAAAGCGTCTATTTTCTATAGTCCAGGAAAAAAGTAATGTCATTGTACCCTTGAGAAGAAATTGAATTGCTTTCTGAAATTTGAAACTTTACCCAGCTTAGTAAGAACAATTTTGATAATGGTTCAAGGATTTATTATCAGATGACACCAAGGCTTTAAAACATGAGTCACCTAAATCTTCAGGAAGCAAATGTCAATATTTTCTAATAAAACAACATTGAGTTCTATACATTGAGCCCAGTTTCAGGAAATTGCTTTGTGTTTGTCCTAAAGTCCTGCTCAGAGATAATGTGTATTTGTGCACAAACATATGTGAGGGATAAAGAGTGAGAACAAATAAAAATTACTGCCAAATATTTTACACTGAAACGTACTTAGTCCTAATCTTTTTTATACTGGTTTTAAACCACTTCATTGGATGTGTTGCAATAGCAGATTCCCAGATTAGTTTAGTGTTTACACCTTATCTTATTTTTCTGGTTATTTAATATTTAATGTTTATTTTACTTAAGTGATATTTGTCTTGACTGTTCTAATGTAGCACAAATCCTATGTAAAATCATACTACGTATTTTTGACATTAATATTGAAATCTGAAATATATACAGAAAGTCTTTTGATACAGTCATATGTTATGGATAAACAGGAAATTAACATTGCAGGAAGGATGCCTGAGCATGGAAACTAACACAGGTTTCTTTTATGCATGTGTTTTAAATCATGTATATGCATTGCCGTGTGCATTTGTATTCTGTAAGAAAAAGACATCCAACATAAACAAAAACCTGCAGATGATTATCGTACTCAAATTCTCCCAGGTAAATGAAAGACATTTATTAAATTGAGGACATGGGCCTGAGTGGTGGACAAGGTGACACACCACACATATGATAGAAATTGAGAGATGTCACAAAATGTGCATCTTAGTGTCTCTTGTTTCCTGTATTAGTATGTTTAGATTCTGCAGATTTTTTAATGTTTGAAGCTGTCTAAATATGATATAGAAAAAAATGTATGAATACATGTAAAGAAAATGCAGAGGTGTATTGAGATGATACACAATATATTCAAACAATAATATAATCCGAGGATTTTGGGGGTGGGTGGGATAAGTCTGAGAGTGGTATTGGGGGCTTCAAAACAGCCCTAAAGTAAAGTAAAGGTTTCCCTCTGACATTAAGTTTAGTCGTGTTCAACTCTGGGGGTTGGTGCTCATCTCCATTTCTAAGCCGAAGAGCCGGCATTGTCTGTAGACACCTCCAAGGTAATGTAGCCAGCCTGATTGTATGGAGCGCTATTGTCTTCCCACAGAAGCAGTACCTATTGATCTACTCACATTTGCATATTTTTGAACTGCTAAATTGGCAGAAGTAAACAGCTCTAGGTCTCACAAATTTTTGGAAAAGTTACTTAGGAGACTTCAACTAACATATACATTGTGTGTCTGAGTCCAAATGTAACTTTCCTGAATTTTGCTACTGCATCACATGTCAAGTAACATTCCCAAGGGCTCCTGAACTGCTCGTCCATAGATGTCACAGGAACAAGACAGAGCTTTCTCTTCCATTAGGTTTTTGTTGAATTAAGCCTTTTAAGAAAATTGAGAATAACACAATTGTGTTTAGGAATTGATATTGCTGACATACAACCCAGCACTAGAGCATTCACTCTGCCTTGTTTAAAGAAAAAGAAAATATTTACGTTCAAAGTGCAAGATCCACACATCATTATTATGCAGTTAATTCTACTTTACAGATCTTTAATGTTCTAAAGAATGAATCATCACAAAGAGAGATCATCTGTTACAAAAATGTCACAATGGAGTCCAAGGCAGAATATTTTATTGTGCATTATATCTTTTTTTAATAGCAGAGGGGACTATTAATGGCTTCAGCATGAACTAAAAGAGTTCAGTATTTATTTTTCCACATTACAGTGCTATGCAATATTGCTGAAAACCTTAACAAGGGGGGAGGTATGGCAGAGACTTGTTTGAGAATACAAATAAAGCCTGGGTCATGATCTCTGCTTTCAATTCAAATGTCTCTCTGTGAGACAGGCAATTGGCAACCACTGATAAGCTCACATTGAGCAGGAGTCCTTGCAGTTGGTTTGTTCCAGACATCCCTAATTTAATCATATGTATTTTGGAGAGCAAATGTCAAGAACTGTAGATATACTGTCTGGCTATGACTCAAGCTCACCTTCTTGTGGAGTACAATTTAGGCACAAACTTAAAAGCAAAAACTTTGAAAATGTTTCTTCTAAGACAACAGTATGATCACTTGTAGTGATAATATTTATTGTACACTAGCTTGGGTACCTGGCATTGCCTGGGTTATAAGAAGAAGTTTTTTTAAAAAAATTACAAAATGCATAAGGTTGTGGGTGTACTGCAATTCACATCAGGCCAGATTAACTCCCTAAAATTCCATGAATACTTAAAGTTTGTCATGTTGGGCAAGTTTGTTCTACATGCAGCATCAGTGGAGTTCAGTATGCTTTCCAGCTGCAGAATGAATTACAACTCCCACCATGCTGGGTCAATCCCATCACATCCCTCCAATATGTTCTGTTGGTCATGGGGGTTCTGTTGGTCATGGGGGTTCAGTTGGTCATGGGGGTTCTCTACATCCTGGTGCACTTTCGAGGAGGACAGACCATGGATGATGGGACTTCAAGTACCTCCACTCCCTTCCCAAGACTGCTGCAACCCTCATCTAATGACTGATCAAGACCAAACTTAATACACAGAGCCCCCATGACCCACTACATCCTGCTGCAGTTTTGGAGGAGGGTTGACCATGGATGATGGGACTTGCAGTACCTTTACTCACTTACTGAAACCACTGCGACCCTAATCCAATGACTGATCAAGACCAAACTTAGCACACAGAGCCCCCATGACCCACTCTACATCTTGGTGCAGTTTGGAGGAGGACAGACCATGGATGATGGGACTTCAAGTACCTCCACTCCCTTCCCAAGATTGCTGCAACCCTCATCTAATGACCAATCTAGACCAAACTTGGCACACAGAGCCCCCATGACCCACTCTACATCCTGCTGCAGTTTTGGAGGAGGGTTGACCATGGATGATGGGACTTGCAGTACGTTTACTCACTTACTGAAACCACTACAGCCCTAATCCAATGACTGATCAAGACCAAACTTGGCACACAGAGCCCCCATGACCCACTCTACATCCTGCTGCAGTTTGAAGGAGGATGGACTTTGGATGATGGGACTTGCATTACCTTCACTCACTTACTGAAACCACTACCACCCTCATCCAATGGTTGATAAAGACCAAACTTGGCACACAGAGCCCCCATGACCCACTCTATATCCTGCTGCTGTTTGGAGGAGGGTGGACCATGGATGATGGCACTTCAAGTACCTTCACTCACTTCCTGAAATCAATTCAGCCATTATCCAATGAACCAATAAAGACCAAACTTAGCATACAGAACCGCCATTACCCACTTTCTCTAATAACCTGGGCAGCGCCGGGTCCACAAGCTAGTAGTTCATAAACAAAAGCAGGCAGGCTTGCCAAGATACTCAGGGAAGCTCTTTTATTTTGTCTTCTTCACAGAAAGATTTAAGGGCATATCTTCCAGTTCTTTCTTGTCCTTCTCCATGCTTTCTCTCTCTCTTTTCAATCTTTCCCCAGCCTCACCCTTCACTCTCACCTCCCTTACAGTTGCTCTACTAATTGTCATCAAAGTCTCTTGAGCCTCAGCTCTATATTATCTCTCCATTGAAGTAAGGGGATATGTTTTCTTTTCCCTAAAGGTGGTTCATCCCTCATTCCTCACATTCTTACACATGAGAAGACAAGCCTCATCATAAAAGACAATAAAGCTTGGTTAGGTAGAAGGGAGTAGGAAAAGAGGAAGACTGCATTCCAGATTAATAGATACTGGACCTCTTTACCTGGGGCATTTTAGTCCCATTTTGCTTCGTTGTTTCACCCGCTTGGATGAGGCCTGCTTTGCACTATCACATGATACATGGTGGGCCCCACCCACATTCCTCCCACAGTGGACAGGAAGCAACGAGAGGAGCTTCCTCCTCCACTATGGGGAGGAAAGTGTGTTTTGGGTAGGGTAGCTCTGACAGAGCTGCCCGCACTTTCCTCCCATTTTCCCCATATGATAGGGGAAAGGGTGGCAGGGCAATCTGTGTTGCTGTGCATTGCCACCCTTTCTCCCATCTGAAGGGGACAAGATGCTAACACACCTTGTCCCATCCCCACCATGTGATGCGGGAAGGAGGGAGGGTGCATGGGATGCCACAAGCCACCCCACTTGCCTTCACCTTTTGCCAGCAACTGCTGGCAAAATGGCACATCCCAATCAAGTCAGCCACAGCCCAGTCTGCAAGTCCTGAGCAAGGCTGTTAATGAAAGGGTGAATTGGGTGTCTCACATTCATAGAATTGTTATAGTCAAAGTTGTCTTAACAGCAGTTAACAATTCTGTTGTTAACAATTCTGCTGTTAATGAATGGTGGCCTCCAATTCATCCCCACACATGTACAAGGAAGAGTGCTTTGCTCAAAGTCATTTAATAAGCAATAGCAAGTAGAAGAGGCAAGCCTGGAAACTTTTTCTGAAAATTTAATAGTAATCATCTTCCTAATTCTATGAATATTTTCTTAACTTAGCAGTATCTTGGGTTTTTCCCCTTCTCAAAGGCTAAAGTAGTGAGAAGCTCAATCTAATTGAGCAATAACATTTGGGAGCTTCTGCAGTTTTGATCATGCCAATTAAATTTTGAATCAAATAATAGTTGGCCTTGGAACTGAGCAAAACATTTGGTGAAAAGGGGAAATGTCTTCTCATGGGACTCACATTTTCATTCTGCTTCATTTGGTTTGGCTGGCTGGCTGGTCATAAAGGAAAACATGTCAAGGGAAATATTAGGCTCTTTAGATAGACTATGCTCTCATAAATAACTAAAATATTGTATGCAAAGATTAATGTTCAGAATAGCATAGAAATCATTCAAACCAATGATTTTGTTATTTTGATAGATATTCATTGCTCACTATTAGTATCAAAATTGTAATACCCATCCTCCCTCCCCCCTTTGATGGTGTTTTTATATAACCATGAGGAACCATGAAGGCAATGGAAACCACATTATATTTCACCAATGTCATCTCTTTGACTAGGTGGGGCGCATTACGTGATGCTGATGGACAAAGGCAGAAATTTTGGGTAAGTGCACTCAGCCTTAAAAATAACAGATGTTAGTAATGGGATACCTTGCCCAACAGATCGCCATTTGCCCTCTGTTTAGAAGCCTCCCGAGAAGGAGACTCCACCACACTTGGAGTTCACATGTTCTACAATTGAACAGCTCTTACCATCATGAAGTTCATCCTAATGTTTAGGTGGAATCTTGAACTAGGATCCTTTGGATCTTTTTTGTAGATCTATGTTAATTCAATGGAATGTAAAAATAACCTCTATCCCACTAGAATTAATGGGACAAAGTACCTTTTCCTACACTAGCAGTGTGCAATACCTGGGATGGGGGGTTGGAATACAGTAAATACTTTGCTTTACAGCCCCCTCCCGAAAGGCAGAAGATTATATGTCAGTGGAGACTCATATAATCCAGTTCAAAGCAGATAACCTGGAATCAGATCCTGGGATACAAAGACAGTGTAGAAGAGGCCTTTAACTGCCATGGCTCAAAGCTATGGAATCAGGGGCTAAAGAGGTAACAAACTGCATTAATTATACCGTGTAAATGTTATCTTAGTCACTGTACTAATGATTTGAAAGTTACTAGTTATGACGGATGCAACATGTGGTTGTTTCCAAAGGGTCAAGCTATGGATGATGTAGTTCTATTCCCTCAATGTATCTAGCCCCCACCCCACCTCTTCAACATTTTGCAAAGTAATACATTACTCTAGAACTCTGAATTATAGTATTACAAGAACCCTTTGACTACTGCATAGCATTGCTTGGAATCAATCAAAGTCTGCATATTTATTTATTTATTTATTTATTTATTTATTTATTTATTTGAAACATTTATATTCAGCCCTTCTCACCCTGAAGGGGACTCAGGGCGGAGCACAACATACATACGGTATGCATTCCATGGCGGAACATAAAATAATAATAATAATAATAATAATAACAACAACTTTATTTATACCCTGCTACCATCTCCCCATGGGACTCGGTGCGGTTTACATGAGGCCGAGCCCACAATACATCAATACAAGCAATAACAGACACAATACAAAGCAATTAAAAATAAAACTCATACACAAATAGCATACATATTAAACAAATAACTATAAGTATACACAAACACTAAAATCAGTTACATCTACTTTAAAATGAGTTGTTTAAAACCATCTCAAAACACTATGCTGGCTCTGGGTTTTCTATTATTGCCTTATTGCACTGTCCCAAAGGCTTAGTCCCACAGCCAGAGTTTTACCATCTTTCTGAAGGACAGGCGGGAGAGGGCTGATCTAATCTCACCAGGAAGGGAGTTCCATAGCAGAGGGGCAATCACTGAGAAGGCCCTCCCTCTCATCCCCGCCAAATGCACCTGTCATGATTTGATATTGCCTTAAATTGTTTTAACTGAGTTTAAAACTAATCTGTTTTAACACATTGTTTATTAGGTTTTTAGTTTACTTGAATGATTCTTACTTTTTAAAATTGTTTAAAATGGTTAGAAATTATTTCATTGTACATTATCTGAGATTGCTGGATATTGAGCAGCATATAAACAACTTGAATAATACATATATGCATACCAGAGATATGCATTGCTAGTAGAATGAAACCAGCAATTTATCCACAATGTAGAACAATAACCAAAACATATTATTTTTAGTTCTCTAATTTTAGAATGTTCTCATATAAACAGTGTGTGATGTGGAAGTTAGAAAATGCAGAGAAAAATGATTTAACATTGCAAAACATACAGTATTTAATAAAAGAGATGGCTCTAATGCAATATGCAATGTTTCACCATTGTTCTGTGCTTTCTCTTATTCCTATCTGTGTAACATGTGATGGCTTAGGGCTCTTCCACACTGCCCTATATCCCAGAATATCAAGGCAGAAAATCCCACAATATCTGCTTTGAACCGGGTTATATGAGTTCACACTCAGATAATGTGGGATTTTCTGCCTTGATATTCTGAGATACAGGGCTGTATGGGAAGGGCCCTAAGTCTCATTATATTTAGATTATTTACTCAGAAGGGATTTACTGAGATCTTGCCTAAGAAAGGCAAGCTGATTAACTCTTCCTATGACTTATTACTACCCCTAGTATTTAATTAAAAACAAACAATGTCATTACGGATTATCTTGGGTAGTTCTTTAGAAGAAACAGAGATAAGTGACAACCCTAGATATCAATACTATTCTCAGCCCACGTCTTCTCTTCCTTCTGTTACTTTAAAATGCACTCCTGCCTGATTAAAGTTTGAGCATTCATAGTAATATAAATATGTTTGTTTTCTCCACCTTTAGATTGCTGCAAATTCCTGGGGGAATTCCTGGGGAGAAAATGGCTACTTCATGATTTTACGTGGACAAAACGAATGTGATATTGAAAAAGTGGTCATAGCTAGCAAGTGTTACCTTTAAGAAGTATTTTTTTTAAAAAAATAATCCAGTATTATTTCTAAAAGCCTTCTGAAGAAATGGAACGTACACATTGTAACAACACTCTGCATACTTCTCTCTCTTGCTCAATTCACCTGTCCCAGTTAATTGTTTCTTTGTCACTGGTGAGTTTCTATGATAATTAAATGGAATGTAAATATAGCTACTCGCAGTCTCTGCTCTTTGCTTTTCTTCCTGTTGCTTAGATATGGTTATGACTCATAGAGTCCAAAGATAGCAGGTGTATGCAAGTTACCATTGCACACTCTTGTGTTTATGGTACCTTAAGTCAGTTGTAAAGGATACTGGACTGGCAAGGACTTTGCTCTGATCCAGCAGGGCTCTTTTAGTGTTCTCGCATGGTCAGGGTAACATCAAAGTTTTGCTGTAATAAAAATATTCAATTTGGAACATCCAGTCTGACCAAAAGCCTGAGATTTTGTGGGCAATGTCCCTATTCCGATTGGTCGTTTTAAAGTCTAAATCAACTGTCCTTTTCTATTAGAAGCAAATTCCTACAGACAATCTTGACTTTTTGAACCCAAAGCAGGAGGTTCAAGTAAAGTCTTATGTCAGGTTCCACTGTGTCTCCATATCCCAGGACCTCTGGGTGGTTGCTATGATAATGACCTGAATGAGGGCATGAGATTTGACTCAGCTGTTCTCCTTTGACCTTCTTTCCTTCAGTACATATCTGGGGAGGAGAGGAAACCCTAATCATACCACAAAGCAACGGAAAAAATTGAAAAGATGGGTATAAGAAAAGGAAAAAAACGATTTGTAAATGAGAGACTTAAGATATCTCCAACTACGCATATACAATACGCCTGCCTATGGTACAGCCCTTTGAAAAAGTTTCATTTATATGTATAGCTTTGAAAATTATAGAATTCGTCTGGAAAACGAAATGATGCCTAGAGATGTGTGTTTTCAGTGATTTCAGCTAGGACCTTGGATAAAAAGGTTCATGCCTGGTGAGCATCTGCTTAGCCAGATCAGCGAGGAGAGAGAACAAAACACTCTGAGTTTGAAAGCAACCGACAGAGGTTTATTACAATTTCACCAAAAGGGATGCAAGTACTAAGTCATCACTTGAAAATGTTCTTCTAAAGGTCTAAATTAATTTGGGAGGGCGTGTGCTTGCTTGATAACCAAGTTCTAGTAGAGGTTGTGGAGGATGTTGATCATAGAATTGCATTGGAACCCCACAGAAAACATTTCTCTAGCCATCACTAGGGATGCCAGAGTGATTTTATGATATGTTCATCTGGAAGCAAAAACATTCAGTTCAGAAAAGAAAAATAGGGTTCCAGATTATATGCCACAAGATTCCTGGAATGGATACCTTACATAATACACAGTCCTACAGTAAAGCAATTTCATACCATTTTTACTGCTATGTCTATATCATGGAGTGAGACATTTCTAATTCTCTAAACTGCTTTTGGAAATAACCACTGCAATAATTTAGCTGAGAAGTTGGGGGAGAAGATCCAAACATATTGGGCTGAAGACCCAAGCATGTTGGCTTGCAAAGTTTGCAATCAAATTCATGTTTGAATTTTATCAAAGGTTTTCCAGTGCCTCACTCTCTTTAACTTTCCCGCATTATGAGGTTTCAGGGCTCATCCAGAAGCGAAAAAAAGTCTCTGGAAATAGTATTTTCAATCTTTTTGTTTTTATTGTATGTTGTTCATTCGTTCAGTCGTCTCCAACTCTTCGTGACCTCATGGACCAGCCCACGCCAGAGCTCCCTGTCGGCCGTCACCACCCCCAACTCCTTCAAGGTCAGTCCAGTCATTTCAAGGATGCCATCCATCCATCTTGCCCTTGGTCGGCCCCTCTTCCTTTTGCCTTCCACTTTCCCCAGCATAATTGTCTTCTCGAGGCTTTGCTGTCTCCTCATGATGTGGCCAAAGTACTTCAACTTTTATTGTATAGGGCCTGTATATTCAAAGGTTTGCATTGAAGCTGTTTCTTGAAATATCTCAGATGTTCCTCATTTCATACCTTTTATTCTTGGTCTCCCTGTTCTACTGCTCAGATGTTACAATTCAGAAATTGATTTCTACCAGTTTCCACTGAGACTTATTATTTTGGAGTTATAGTCGAAGTGCTGAAGTGCTTAACAATAATTCACTAGTTCAACATTAAAAGCCTTGCATTTTGATTTAAACTTCCTCTTTTCTCCTTGCTTGGACTCCTTTGAATCAGTGTCCTGCAAATAGTTGTGTTTACTGGCAGTGCCATCTTTGCTGTTTCCAGAATAATACAAACCAGGCAAATACTGCATTGATTTAAATTGATCTAGGAAGCAGAAATGAAAAGTTCTTGGTAATGCTGATGGTTTTTAGGAAATACTTCAGGATGAAGAAAATGATGTGTTAGATCTCCAAAATAAAATTGCTTTGTATAGGAACAGAACATGAGCTTTCAGATACTTCTTTTCTTATCTGGAGGGACTGCCAGAGATTAATTTCAGCAAGCAATTGCAGTGACTCATTCATAGAATTTTAAAGAGGGAATATAGAGAACACATTTGATAGCACTTTCCTATTGCCTTTTCCATCTTTTCTTACCACAAACATTTTAAAAAGGAATATTTCCAGAAATCTATTAAGGAGAAAAAGACAGGATCACTGCACAATGACTTTTGTTCTGCTAGAACTAGAAAATAACTGTTTTCCAGAGTCCTTTTTCAGTCTACCTTTTCCCTTCTAAACAGCTAGATAAAAAAATTAATAATAAATCTATTTCATTTCTTACTTGTGTATCGCTTTGAGTCAACATGCCCAGACATATTTGGAATATTTTTCAGCTTCATTGCTTAATCTTTCTCAAAGAGCATTTTTGGCTGCGTGACATGAAGCCACTGGTACTTGCCAGTTCAAGGCAATCTTGGGAATAACTGTGTGGCAGTTTACATTTTACTACTTGGAGCTTTCAAATTGCTTTAAACCAATTAGATTTGCTTTCCTTAGATGTCTTCAGATCAAAATAGCATTCTGAAACTCTCTGACATTAAGCTTAAGTGGAAACAACAGCTTATAAAACCCCCACTAAATCTTTTACTGACAAATTGAGAAGACCGACTATTAAAAAGTTTAGGTGCAACACAAAAGTTTCCAAAGGGGGTGGTGGTGGCGGTGGTAATAACTTGGAAGGCTACATCTGAAAAGCAAGAAATAATTCACCATCCTTTCAGTAAAATGCAAAAGTATATCATTACACTGATTGGAGAACAATCAAAATCCTTATAAGAACAAATCAAAAGTCTGCTGGTGAAGTCTATTTTTTATACAAAAAACCAAGGCATTGTTTCTCCTTCCTTCTCTTCTTTCATCTTGTAAGTAGTTAACATTTAATCTAAAGCCAATAGATTGTAGTGGTTTATGTGCTGGACTAAGATAGACTAGGATTCTAGGTGACCAGATTTCAGTCTCCCACTTTGTCAGGGAAGCCCATGGGATGACTTTGCACAGGCTACTCTCTCTCACCTTTAGAGGAATACAATGGCAAACCTCTGAATAAATCTCCCCATGACAACCTATTTGGATTACTGTAATGTGCTCTATATGGGGTTAACTTTGAAACTGTTTAGAAATTTTAGTTGGCTCAAAGAACTGCAGCCAAAATTTAGCTGCGGCTGGCAATGGGGAACACAGCCCTACTACCTGACATTTCAATTCAAAGTGCTAGTGGTGCCTTACACATCTTTGTATGGCTTGGGCCCATGCCGTTTGAAAGATTGTATCTCCCTCTATGAGTTTGTTAGATCCTTAGATTGTATGAAGAGGCCTTTCCCAGCTTTGCAAAGTGTTCTCAGGCTTGCTTAGTGGGAAAAAGTGGAAGACCTGTGGCTTTTCCTCAATTCTAAGATGCACTCCTCTGCCATCTAAACATCTCTAAAAGCAGGGTGCTTGTTAGAATTGTGGGTGATATACACATACACTGTATTTCACCAATTGTAGGACACACTTCCCCCTCCCCAAATCAAGGCTAAAGAGGGGCTTAGTTCTTAGAACAGTGGTTCTCAACCTGTCGGATGTTTTGGCTTTCTGGGAGTTGTAGGCTAAAACACCTGGGCACGCCACTGTCTTAGAATATACAGTGTCCTAGATTCACAGTTGTTTTTTTCCAAGAGGATCAGGAGCGGCAATGGGGGCTGAGAGAGAGGGAAGCCAGTGAGGAGCCAGTAAGGAGCCATCTATCTTCACCCCTCCCTCAGCTGCCCCCCCCCCACATCTATCAACTGGCTTTCTCCTAATCTCTCAACTGGTTTCCACCCCACCCCCCATTTTAGTTGGCTTCCCCCTTTTCAGCTGCCTTTTTTGAGATGGAAAAAGCCTGCTGGGAGATGGGGAGGGGTCAACTGGGAGAATGGCTGAGAGATCGAGGGTCTCAAAAAAGGGGGTGCACCTTGGAATTCATGGCATCCTAGATTCAGTGAAATGTAAGACTGTCCCCAAGTTACAAACATCCGATTTACCAATGACTTATAGTTAGGAATTGGGGTGAGACAACAGGAAATCAGAGAATTCTACCCCTAGGAAGGAAAATTCACTCCAGGAAGACTTATCATTGAGAAAAGTGTATCAACTGAAGCTTTCTCGCCATTGAATGTTAGCTTTTTATGTTTGGAATCTGCCCTGAGTCACTTTGGGGAGATAGAGCGGATTATAAATAAAGTATTATTATTATTATTATTATTATTATTATTATTATTTTACTGACACGAAAGCACAGTATGTCACAGCAAATGAGATCTATATGCTGGATTTCATATCACAAAATCACAAGTCGAACACTTCCCAAGCGTCTAGGACTGTGTGATGTATTTTCGAATGATGTGCGCAGATCCAAGTAAGAGGCCTTTTGCAGTTGACAGATCATGATTTTGTTGATGTTTAATGTTTCCAAATGCTGGCTGAGATCTTTTGGCACAGTACCCAGTGTGCCAATGACCACTGGGACCACCTGTACTGGTTTATTC